AACATGAGAGAGAGAGAGAGAGAGGAGAGAGGAGAGAGATGGTTTCAAGTATGTGTGAAATGAGAGAACAGGTAGGGGAGAGAGCTCAGGGAGGAGAGAGGGAGAAGAGAAAGCCTGGCACCAGAGAGGAAAAGAAGCTGAGTGGTGGGAGGAGAGAGTTCGGAGCAGGGTTCCTACTTCGGGAAGGTGCACTGTGAGAGGGGCTGTTTTGAGTGGGGTGAGAGGTGAGAGACTACCTTTATGAGAGGGGTTATGATTTTCTGTGATGGGAATATAATAGGGAGTGAAAAAAAAGGGTGAATCACATGTCTGAAGTATGGCTCTCCATGCTGTGGGTTGGAGAACCGCGCTTCACATTTTTGGGTTGGGTGGAAAATGGTTGAGTTCTTTGGAAGTGGAGTCTCCAGTGTGTCATTTGGATTTTTTTTAGGAAGCAGAACCGGTCAATTTTTTAGCGGAAGTGGTCGAGCTTGTAGACATTGAGGGCCATGTGTTAAAGGTAATAGAGATAGAAATCTTATTATGGATTGGTGGGAATCTATTTTTTACTTCAACGCCATGCTTTCATATAATGACAAATCCCTTGAGGACCTTGGTGGGATTGGTCATTCAAGGAATTGATGTTATTTTTAATCATGGTTCAGTAAAGGCAGCACACATCTGTTCGTAGCACTTCTTGGCTTTCTGCCATTTGAAAACCACAACTTTTAACTGGCTGGTTTTGTTTTATGATTGCTCTTTGATGAAGATCTACGTAACATCACTAGGTGGGTTTGGTAGTACGCTATCTTCCTTTGGAAGATTACACTGATGCTGTGGAGGATGTCAATGTGTTTAGAGTTCCTTTCCATTGTAGATAGTGATCTTATTTAATTTAGACTGACCTGAGTTATTTGATACAACATGGTTTTCTGTTTGCTTTCTCTTTGATGTTGAGCCTCTCTTTCCAACTTGATTCGAAGTTCGTCGTTATCATGTATTTTATTCATTTTCGTATATGTGTATAATTACACCATTGGCAGTTAGCTGTATTTCACAGCCTTTTTTTTTTAATTAGTTGCTGCTTTTCCTGATTTGTTTGTGTATCGTTTACTTGCGTCAGGTACTGGATGGATGCAACTTTGCCTGTATATTCGTGTTTTGGTTTCAAAATTACAACATTGCTAGATATGTTTATGTTACTTCACATTTCATTGTGTTATTGTTGTTATTTTTCATTGTAATTAATCAATCATGGAATCTACAATTACAGCATTGCTAAATATGTTTATGTTACTTCACATTACATTGTGTTATTGTTGTTATTTTTCATTGTAATTAGCCAATCATGGAATCTAGATAAGAGCTTATAACTTGAGGCACTAGCATAATCTGGAAAACGCAGTGATAGTCTTGTCAATTAAGTGAATGGGTTTACTGTGTAGTTAGGCTATGGTTATGAAGACCGGATGCGACCAGCACCGCCAACTGGTATCTTGACCGGTCTAGTCTAAAGTAAAAACCAAGTTTAGTTGAAAACTGGTCAAAACTAGAGTTTGATCAGTCAAACTGATAAGTTTTGATATGTTAAGCTTGCTAAATAGGATTGGCAAATTTTTTAACATTATTTCATATTGTTTGACTTTTTTTTTTTTTTTTTTGATGTTTCATATTTTTTAACTATTACTAATGGAACACGTGATTTGATTTCTCTTAAAATAAATTAGAAGGTTTTTATTAAGGGTGTGGTTTATATAAAGTTTAAAATTAATAGGATATCTTGAGAATCTATTTTCATATCTAATTATAAAATTTTAGAATAAAACAATGGTTCAAATCAAGTAGATGTATAAACACATGAAAATATTGAAACTGGACGGTTCAGATAATATGTTGCAAGATGTACTATTTATAGGACACAAAATCTTTTTTCTTTTTCAGATTCATACATCTGTATGGAGAGATAATCATTTAGAGGGTTTTCAAACTTAAAAATAGTCTTTAGTTTGATTTTTTAAGTGCACCTTAATTCTACATTTTAAGAGCGTTATGTTTATGGTGCTGATTTATTGTGTGGCGAACTCAATTTGTGTGATGAGTTTCAGTGTCAACCATAAGTGGCTTTTGAGATACCTAGGAAAAAGTAATAGTGAAAGTTTTCTATTGTAAGAACATGTAAGAACAACCTACGTAACTTATATTGAGTTAGAACAAATGTAACTTTGTAACTTTATAATTTGACTGATAAGTTGATATTATACTTATAAAGGAATAAATAATATTGAGTAAACTATTGTTTAGAACAATATGTCATTTTTTAGGTGGCACTATATTCTGTTACTTGCACAACTTGTATTATTATTTTAAAGAAGCACTAATCTTAAGTAAACCACCACTTTGAGTAGTGGAAAGCGTCATTTTTGTGGTGCTACTGTTTTGTGCTACCTACTCGACATATGAGATTGATTTTTAAGAAATTAACATGAATGTATAATTTATTTAAAGTGGACATATTGTTTCATTATAGAGATTAAAGGGACATGTTCATTAGATTGCTTACAAATTATAAACTTACTATGATCTTGCTAGATTTTATTATAGGTTTGTTTTTAGTTAATCTTGTAGTAGTGCAATGTGTCATTTTTATGTTGTCACCTTGTTGTGTTACTTGCTTAACTTGTGTCAAATTTATTTCAAAGAAGTCAACATGAATGTAGAATTTATTCAAAATGAATAGTGTTATAATATACTTGAAAGGCGCATGCGCATTACAAACTAATTGGGGGCTTTAATTGCGTGGAAGAAAAAAATAGAAGTTTTTTATTGTGGTTTTATTGTAGTTAATGTTATGTTTTTTAAGTCCATTAGATTTATTAATTAATTTTTAAGAGTTTCTTCTAATTAAAAGTTATAATTTATTATAGCTTTTATAACTTATAAAATAATTTAAATATGTGTAAGTTATAAGTTACAAATATATACCTGAATAGGTTACATCACTCGTGTGTCCATTACTCATTATCTCGGTCCTTTCATTATTGCATATAAATGGAATTAATGCTAACAAAATATCATAGAAGTTGATCTTATGTGCCCAAGGGTGTATGATCTCTGACCACAAACTTTTACTAAGAACTCAAAATTTAAATTTTTTCTTTTTAAAATACACATTTAGAAATAGATCTCCATATTTAGCATGCATAAAATATTATTAATAAATATTTTTCTTGATGGATCAACCGTACAAAGTGTCCTTATGTGTGAACTCACTTTATGAACTATATTTTTACATCTTCTATCTTCTATGTGTGGGGGAGTGATGTACAAGCATTAAATGAAATATAAAAGGTCAATTTTTATTCTTCCAAAATAAC